AAATAAATAAAAATAATAATAAAATAATAAAAATGAATATGAATAATCAAATTTTATTTCATTAATATTTCATACAAAATGAATACAAATGATTATAAAATATAAACATAAATATTTTTATTTTATTTTTATTTTTTTATGAGCAAAATATAATAAGTTGAATATTCTATGTATGCAAATTATTTTGCATCTTTTTTCTTTTTTTGTAAATTATTTAGATTCATTTTTTTTCTTTACTTATTTCGTTCCTTATACAAATCATATATATTAAAATATAATGTATTAGTTAAATCAATTGATATATATTCAAAAACAAATAAAATAGAAATAAAAGAAATAAAAATAATTATGAATAAGTAAAATAAATGAAACAAATAATACAATAAGAATAATAAATAATGAAGAAAAACATTAAATACAAACTATTATTAAATAATACAAACTAATTATTATTTAATTCTTAATCAAGTAATCTTGAATTGAATAAGAAATTAAATTAATTATGTTTGCTTATTTTACAGTTACTAATTAATAATCAAATTAATTTTTGATTATATTCAAACAAATAAGTCAACCTTCATACAAAATGAAAAATTGATAATTTAAAATAAATGTCACGAGAAAAATATATTAATTATTATTATGATTCAATTCAAAAATATCCAGTTCTTTATTAACACATTTCTTTCTTTTATTCAATTATATCACAATTTTCATTTTATTTAATTCTCTTTATTTTATAATTTCATATTATCAAATGATGGTATTAACACTAAAATATAACAAAACAGTATTACAAAACAACAACTAATTTGAATATTAAATAAAAATGACGCCTTGAGAAAGAACAAAAGAAGAAACAAAAGAAAATTTCAATAAATAGCTTCTTCAATATACAATATCAAAATGTCAATTTATTTTTATTTTAACACTTATATTTATAACTCTTTTAACTTCTACACTCGACTCTTGCAATTACCTCAAGTCAATTAATATCATATCTATTTTTGAAAAAGATGGTTTTATTAAAAGATTTAACAAACAAAAAATGGATTGATTGAAATTGATATCCAAACACTTCCTATTTATGAAGAAATTATGAAATAAAAATAAAGTAGATATTGAATAAACAAAAATGAATAAACATTAATAATTGTAAATTTAAATAGAAGTAATGATTAATGATATAATAAATGTAAAATGAAATGAACAACAATTATTTGAAATTATTAATAAATAAAAAGTAATTAATTAAGTATTAATAGAATTTTCATATATTTTTCCTAGCTCAGGGGAGACTAATCCCATCCCTGAGCTTATTAAAAAAGAGTAATCTCTTTGTTGAACCTATTCTTTATGTTTTTCTTGCAAAATGAGGAAAGTACTTCTTTGTTTTATTTCTTCTTATTAAGGTTTTTCAAACTTCTTCTGCTTATTTCTTCTTTTTAAGCCTTTGTTTGTTTTCTGCCTTAATTTTAAGTAATTTCATTTTTCTTATTTTATGAATGAGAGAAGGAAATATTTTATTATTACTATATTACTTTGACTAATCTTCTTTTAGTCATACCCACACTTCAGTATATTCTTAGATTACATCCATGTAATATTCTACTGTATTCTCTTGCTGCACCCTTTGCAGCATTCCCTAATACATTCCTAATTCAAAGGCACCGTCATAACCAGATAATAACTGGGAGAGTCGAAGTATGAATTTGTACTAGGGTTTATGTGTGGTGTTTCAGACGTGCCACCTTCGATCTATTATTTGAAATTATTAATAAAAACAAATAGAAATATAATAATTTTTCACAAAATAAATTTAAGAAATATATAAATTAAAACCAAACAAACTAATGATATTAATAAATATAGAACACGCAAGATAATATTCTAAAAAAAACCAACAACTTCAATTGTGCAACTGTGAAGAAAAAAATTCGAGAAAAGTATATATTATAAACATCATTCATATCATTTCCTCATAACTAACAAAAAAAAACTTTATTATTTAAATATACCTCATTCTTATGCATAAAAACCATTCAAAAATTGTTAAAAAAAAAGAAGTCTAAAAATAATAAGTTAAACAGAAAAATAAACTAAAGAATCAAACAAAAAATGTAAGAAACTAATTAGTTTATAAAAAGATAGAATTAAAGAATAAATAAACTTAAAACATACGAAGATGAAATAATAATTTTTATAGACATTAAAAACATTTAAATAAATTAAAATATTGAAAGAATAAAACCCAAATTGATATCTGATAATAACATAAAATATTATAATTATAACATAATAAAATTTTACTATTTTATAGAATTTTTTCAATTCAATTTATTAATATAACTTTAAGTTGTTTTGGTAAGCGTCATTTTATTTTTAATAGTACCTCATAGAAAAACACATTTTTCATAACAACGAACAATATAATATTATTAATAGTATAATTGATGTTAATTTTTGAATTTTTGAACAACAAAACACACCTTTTTAAATTACAATAAACATCATTTTCACATCTTCTGTATTTAATTTATCCAAAAGAGTAAATGACATTTATTTAAAACTATTTAAACATGTAAAAAATGTAATATACATATATCAAAATGACTTGTCTAATGAGTGCATTTTACAAAGGAAAGATTACCCAAGAAACAGAAAATACATATATTGCACAATGTACGAAAACACCTAAATCCTTACAAATGTTATATGCAAAAAGAAAGTCAACTGATAGAGACTGTCACCAACAATCATTTTTAATTGGGTTATTAATATCACTTGGATATTCAATAACAATTAAAAAACCTCATAAAAAAAGTAAAATCAATTCTCAAATGTTTTTAATACTAGAAATAAGAAAAGAAATGAAAACGATTCTGTCGAGTGATAGTTTTGATGATTCTTTTGTAGATATCAAAAAAAGAAGAAGAGAAATAGATTCTTTAACAAATAATATTCTTATTGAACAAATTCAATCTCATCAAGGAATAATGGAATTTAAAAAAAATAATAAAATAAAACTTAATGGATATAAGAGAATTAAAACACTAATGTATAATAATACTAAATATACACAATCAGATATAAATTTAATAGGAATGTCAATAAATAAATTTATTGTTCAAACAATTGGTTCTAACGATTGTTATTTACAACCGAATGACACAAGAATTACAAAATATTTTATAAATTAAATCAAATTTAAGTTATTTTGTTTTATAAAACAAATTTAAGTTATTAAAAAAAATATATATTTTTAGGAGAGAGTTAAGATTTTAGATCTCATCTTAAATATCATTTCTGTATTGGAAACTATCCATGACAGAAAAATTACTTACTACACCACGAACAAGAAATACTATTCAAATTCCTCCTCAAACAGAAACAAATAACAAAACTTATCGATCCTCTAAGTCAGTTATACAAAATTATATTATTTGCTCTCCAAGACAAACAGATAAAATAATACATATGGATAATATTACTTATTTATCTAAACCACCACAACAAGGTGTGTTATTAATTTTAACAATTGAAGGACATACTTTTATTAAGTTTCAACCATACTTAAATCAAAATGTATTGTCAGGAATATCTCCATCACAAACACCCAAATTAGAAGAAGAAAATGAAGAAGACAAAGAAAATGAAATATATTTCTGTATTGAAGATACTCCAACATATAAAATTTCTCATGAAACAAATGAAATACAAATTACTTTTATTCCAGGAAGAACTATTCCAGTTGACATAAAACCAATAAAATTTAAAAAAGGGACTTTCCCAAAATTTTGTGAGTTTTTAAAACAACTTGGAATTCATTTTTGTAATGGAAACATTTCTATTGACAAAAGAAGATTACCAAGAATGATAGATATTCCTAAATATCTTAATGAATTATCTAATCAAGAACAAAAAGATAAAAGAATTAATTGGTGTAAACAAATACAATTTGATTGTATTCAAAAAATTAATAAAAATTATCAATGGAATAATGAAAATGAAAGTATTATTAGAAAAGGATTGTTTTATAAAGGAGTTGATAATGATTGTCGTTGTTCATTATGGTCAAAATGTCTTGGAAATTCAATAGATAAAAATATATTTGAAAAGATCAAACTTCAAGTAAATAATTTAGTTGATATTCAAATTCAACATTGTAAAATACTTAGAGAAGAAATTGAACAAATATTAAAAGATGTAAAAAGAACAACTGTTAATAAAAGTGTATTAGAGTATTGGAATTGTCCAATTGAAAAAATAAAAACTTGCATTGAATTATTAATGAAATGTTGGATAATATATGATTTAGATAAAGGATATCAACAAGGAATGAGTGATATTTTAGTTGGAATAATGGAATGTAGTATAGATGACTATGAATTATTTTCTATCTTTGTTCAACTTATTGAACTAATGTCTTCTATTTTTAATAGTAAAATCCCTTTTGACTGTATTATTGGACCAATAGTAAAAACATTAGATTTAGAACTTGAAGAATATTTTAATATGAAAAAAATTGGATATTCTTTTATGTACAAATGGCTTATTTTATTATTTAGAAGAGACTTTGTCTCTGAAAAATGCATTCGGCTTTGGGATGCAATAATTGCATATCCAAAAAATAAATTTCATTATTTCATTGCTGTTTCTATGTTATTAGAACATCGTGATATAATCTTGTCAAACCGTTTAGACCTTGATGATATTTCAATCTTCTTCTTACAACTTGAAAATAAATTTAATGATCATCTTTTGATTGATGCTGACATTGCACTATCTACTTTTAAACAAAAGGCTTCTAAAGAAGATCAAGACCTTGTTTTTGCATAGAAATAATTGTAATATTTTAATTTCATTCTTCCAATGTTCTTCATCTTTTTTTGTAAATAAACAGTAATATCAAAACTTAATCTTGTGATTAAATTTAGGTTAATGAATCTAAATGAAAGGAAAGAACCTCTACATAAAAAGACAATAAAACTTTAAAATACATGACGATTAAAGTTGTTGTATTACACCCTCATACGGGAGGTAATAAAATGTGGGAACATCTAAAAACAAATTGGAAATTATATGGGGATATGGGATTAGTCATTACTGTGTTTAGAAATTTTAGCTATGAAATGCTAGAAATTATACAACCAGATGTAATCATTCTTGGAGATTGTGCTGGAGCACCTTACCAATTCACAGAACAAGAATTTGAATCAATAGAAATGTATATGAATGAAGGAATTAACAAACATATTATTGGAACTTATGCAACGTTTTATCATCAAGAAGGACCATTTAATAGACTTCATATCTATGATAATAGAAGACTATGTACACTTTTTGGAATTGAACAAAGACTGATTTTGACTACAAGAAGAATAGATGGAGAAATTACTTATATCAGTTCTGATAAAACTATACTTTGGAAAAATATTCCACTTCCCTATAAGTCTAATGGATATACAAGTTCACAAGTTCCTCTTCATGAGTTAAAATGGGTTGATGAAACAGGAAATCTTATTGGATGTATGCAAGGCACTAAAATTTTAGCACAATCTGAGAATGGAGACTGTGTGATCTTAGAAAGAAAAACAGAGAGAATGTCTTCTTTGTTTATAAGTCATATGCCAGAATATGAATCAGTTAAAAAAGACTTTGTTGATTGTCAATTTCTTTACAACTGTATTTTATATCTTGTCCAGCATAGTTTGTTCTGACTTATGTTTGTTTTCTTTGAAATTAGATTAAACTTAATAACTTATTGTAGATTATCATTCTAGTTTAACACTGATATGTCTAAATGAAATTAATAAACATTCTGTCCCAATTAAAGGATTGAATGGTTTACCTCCACCATTAATTGAATTAAAGAAGAAACTTGAAAGGAATAAGAAAAACATCACTTACCAATCAAATCCATAACCTATTTATTTTTATTATAACTCCTTTAAAAAATAAAAAAATATAAATAACAAAAAAAAAGGCAAAAATGAAAATTTAAAAAAATAAAAATAAAGTAGAGGTAAGAACTTCATCTAGAAATGAACTAAAAAATTAAAGAAATGTCAGCTCCAAAGAGTTTCCATCTTTGTGATAATATTGGATGTCATTGTTGGAATGTTGATGCTACTAAAATTGCTTATTCTCCATGTTCCAAAGAAATTATTGTTGCTAGTTTTGATGGTAATAAATTTACAACTGAAGCAAAATTAAATGAACATGATGCGCGTGTTACTGGAATTGATTGGGCTGCTCAGTCAAATAGAATTGTTTCATGTTCAGAAGATAGAAATGCATATGTGTGGACTCAAAATGAAAATGGAGAATGGGTACCAGTTCTTGTATTATTAAGAATTGATTTTGCTGCAACTGATATTAAGTGGTCACCAAATGAAAGTAAATTTGCTTGTGCTTCAGGAAATAAACTTGTTGCTGTTTGTAGATTTAATGAAGAATCAAATTGGTGGGCTTCAGATCATGTTAAAAAATTCAAATCAACTGTTACTAAAGTAGCTTGGTCTCCAGACTCACTTACTGTAGCAGCTGCATCAACTGATTTTAAAGCAAGAATTTTTAATGCTTTTAATAAAACATTAGATCCAAAAGGTTCATATTCTCCATTTTCAGAAGAAGATATTTCATCTCCAAAATGCAAATTTGGTACTTTCTTATTTGAGACTGAAGCTAATGGATGGGTTCATTCTGTTGCTTATACACCATCTGGAACAACTGTTGTTTTTGTTTCACATGATTCTTCTATTTCATTTATTGAAGCTAATAATGGAAAACCAACTGTTCAAACTATTAAATGTAAAACATTACCATTCTTAGATGTTCTTTGCATTAGTGACAATAAAGTTGTTGCTGTTGGACATCATTTCAATCCATGTTTATTTGAACGTGGAGATGATGGATGGAAGTTTGTTAAAGAACTTGATCAGAAACAAGCACCTAAGTCTACTGGAACAATGTCTGCTATGGATCATTTCAAATCTCTTTCGTCTAGAGGAACTGCTGCAGTTAAGAGTGCTGTAGAAGAAATTACTACTACTCATAAGAACACTGTTACTTGTATTAGACCAATGAAGTATGATGAGGTATGGAATGTTCTTGAGTTTTCAACTTCAGGTATGGATGGTAATATAGCCATTTGGAAAGCTTAATAATTATCGATAAAAATCCATTCATTTTTTTTCTTTTTTATGGTTAAAACTAGCTGTAGTAAAGTTTGTGAAATTAATGCAAAGTTCCACACCTCCTATTGGAAGAAAAAAAACCAGTTAAAATAATTGTTGTTGGAGATTCAGGTGTTGGTAAGACAGCAATTATTTCTAAATTTTTATATAAAGACGTTAATAAGAATGAAAGTGCAACAATTGGTAATGTTCATGTAAAAACAATTCTTGAAAAAGGAAATAATAAACTTGATGTTGCTATTTGGGACACGGCTGGACAAGAAAAATATAGTTCTATGGTTGATATATTTTTTAGAGGTGCAAAGGGATGTGTTATTGTTTATGATATTACTTCTTTTCAATCTTTTGTTGATACAACCTCATGGTATACAAGCATATTTGACATAACTCATACATCAATTCCTATTGTATTAGTCGGAAATAAAAAGGATTTGTCGTCTCAACGTGAAGTAGCTTATGAAAGTGCAGAAAATTTAGCAGTGAAATGGGGAGCGTTATATTTAGAAGTATCAGCAATTGAAGGTACAAACATAGATACTATATTTAAAAGTTTTGTAGACAAAATTGAACCTGAGTATGAACCAGAAAATGTTTTCCAAAGTCAAAGTACAAAACAAAGGAAGTGTTGTTAATAATAAATTAACAAGACTTAATGTGAAAAAAGTAATTGAATTAATTTCATTTTTTTAGTTATTGAACTAATAAATTAAAATATCAAATGAGCTCCATCTTCTGGTTGGTTAAGAATGAAACAAAATGGATGAAGATTAAATTTTTCTTTATATACTTCTAACATCTTTTTATACTCATCAACAGCAGATGGTTTTAGTAATGTAACAGTACATCCACCAAACCCAGCTCCAGTTAATCGAGAACCAAATACCCCATTGATTTTTAAAGCATTGTCAACCAAATAATCTAGTTCTTCACTAGAAACTTCAAATAAATTTCTTAATGACATATGACTTTCTGTCATAAGTTTACCTAATTCTTCAACATTACCAACTTTCATAGCAGCAATGGCTTTTATAACTCTATCATTTTCATTAACAACATGTTTAGCTCTATTTCCAATAATTCCAGTAAGAATCTGAACTTCATCAACAGTAAATCCTCTTAAAAATTTTTCATTCTTATGGTAATGTTCATTTAATTGACGTACAGCTTCTTGACACTGTTTGACTCTTTCATTGTATTGAGACGATTCTAATTTATGAGGGGCATTAGAATTTGTGATCATAATGAGACAATCACCAAGAACCACAGGTTCATTAATTGTTTGATGGGTTTTACAATCTAATAACAGTGCAGTATTTTTTTTACATAACCGAGATGCAAATTGATCCATAATACCACACATAACACCTGTATATTCATGTTCAACGTCAACAGCTAATAATCCAAGTTCAATACCAGTCATCTCAATATTCAAAACTTTTAAGAAAGTAATACCAGTAGCTACTTCAATAGATGCAGAACTACTTAGTCCTGAACCTAAAGGAACATCTCCCATAACACAAATAGAATATTCTTTTGGTTCAGATTGAATTTTAGTTAGTAATTTATCAATAACACCATAGACATACATAAACCATTTTCCTTTATACTTTTCTAATATTTTTTCTTTACTTTGTCTTTCAATAGATACAAGTTTATTATCTATGGAACTAATAAAATTCATTTTAGTAACAGTTGATGGTTTAGTTGAAACACTGACATATGTACCTTGTTTTATAGCAACTGGAAGAACATAGCCATCATTATAGTCAGTGTGTTCTCCAATAATATTTACTCTTCCAGGTGCAAATCCAACATGTTCAGGTTCAGTACAATAAGTTTTAGCATGAAACGATTTAATATCTTCCAATGAAACCATTAATGAAGTTGTTCTATAATTCTATTTTTCTAGTTTTTAAGTTTATATACCCTCTGAAGAGAATAGAAGTTCTCAAGATGAAAAGTCAATGAGTAGTTAAAGAAAAATTATCAAAAACAATCTTAACTTATTTATATCTTCAGACAATATTTTAATTTGCTAAGACTATTGAAAATATATGCGTTATGTAAAATCATGAAGAACAATTATTTTCTATCTTATTTTTTGATTGATGAAAAATCATAGATTGAAATTATTTTTAGTTTTGACAAATCTGATGAAGAATAATAAGAACTATTTAAATCTTAGAAATAAAAACAGAAGTATCACTTAAAAAATGACAACTATTGTTAAAAGAGAAGATTTTTGTAGTATTGTTAATGGAAAGGAAGTAGATTTATATACTTTAACAAATGAGTTTTTAACAATTAACCTCACTAATTATGGTTGTCGTCTTATTGATATTATTACTCAAGGAAAGAATGGTCCTGTTAATGTTTTAATAGGATTTCGTAGTTTAAAAGGAATTATGCAATGTGATAATTGTATGGGAGCTATTATTGGTAGGTATGCGAATAGAATTTATAAAGGAGATCTTGTTATTGATAGTCATAAATATCAATTACCAATTAATAATGGAATTAATTGTCTCCATGGAGGAGATGGATTTGACAAAAAAGTATTTACAGTAACAAAAATTACTAAAACAGAAGTGGTATTAGAATTAGATGATAAAGATGGGTCTAATAATTTTCCAGGAAATGTTCATGTTGTTATAACTTATAAATTACATGAAAATAATCTAGTTATGACGTTTGAAGCAACAACTGATCAAACTACTGTCGTCAATATCACTAATCATTCTTATTTAAATTTAAATGGAGAAGGATCAATCGTTCATCACCAACTCCAAATTTATAGTGATCAATTTCTTCCTATTACAGATGAAATTGTACCTACTGGAGAAATAAGAAAAGTTGAAAACACACCATTTGATTTTAGAGAGTTTAAAGAAATTGGTAAAGAAATAAATAATGATTATGAACAATTAAAATTAGGAAGTGGATATGACCATTCATTTATCATAAATGAAAATGCTCCACATTGTTCATGGGATAAAAGTATTAAGCAAATAGCAAATATTAAAGGAGATATAAGTGAGGTCCAAATGTCAATTTATTCATCTCAACCTGGTGTTCAATTTTATACTTCCAATTTTATGCCAGAAGGATTTAAAACAAGATCAGCTTTTTGTTTAGAAACTCAACATTTTCCTGACTCTCCACATCACCCAGAATTTCCTTCAACTTATTTAAAAAGAGGAGATGTTTACCATCATGTTTGTGTTTATCAATTCCAATAAACAATCAATAAAAATGGTTTAAATTATTAATTCATTGTGTTAACATTTCGAGTTGATGTTCAAGTTCTTGTATTTCTTTATCTTTTTGGTGTATTTTTTCTTCTTGAGATTTTATTCTTTTCTGAAGTTCTTCATTTTCAGTATTTAGTTTTTGTTCGTATTGACTAACTATATTAATAGTAGATTCAATCTTAACAATTTTATCTTCTAATTTTTCTACAAATGCAAACACTTCGTCTTGGTACTGAAGAGGTGTAATTGGTTTTAATGACATTTCAATGAATTAAAAGTTTAAAATGATGTTTAATTTTATTATTATTTTTTTTGTTATTTTAAAAATAATGGTATTGAACAAATTCTTCAGAGGAAAATAATAAAGGAATATTAAATAATGGTATTTTATCTAAAAGATATTCTAAAAAAACTAGTCAAAAGAATTTAATTTTTTTCTGAATAGAATAAAATAAATAAAATAAGAAAAAATAATATATTTTAAAACTATTTAAATACAATTAAAACAATAACTTTAAAAAGAAGAAACTTATATCATGAACATTCTAATTCTTTTATTCATTTATAATGTTTTAAGTTCATGTGAACTAAAATATAAATTAATTTATAACCTTGATGCATATGAAGTGTTTTGTCCATTTCCACAATTTTGTCAAGGGAATATAACAATTCCATCAGAACATCCAGAAAATCATAAACCAGTCATAAGAATTGGTTCAAATGCTTTTAAAAATTCATTAATAACAATGATAGAATTTCCTAATTCAATAATAGAAATAGGTAATTATTCTTTTTATGAATGTAAAGAATTAATAGAATTAAATCTTCCAAATTCACTTCAAATAATTGGTAATCAAGCCTTTTATTCATGTAAAAAAATAACTCAAGTTATTCTTCCAAATTCAGTTATTTCAATTGGAAATTTTGTTTTTGGGTCATGTACTGGATTAAAAACAGTTCAATTATCAGAGTCATTAACTAATTTATCAGCTCATTGTTTTGCTGATACAGGTCTTATTTCAATTAATTTTCCTCCAAGAATTAATGTAATTAATGAATATGCATTTTCTGGATGTACTAATTTGAAAAATATAACATTTAATTCATCTCCAATTATTAGAAAATATGCATTACATACATATTCTTCAACAACAATAATTAATATGTTTGGATTATATGATTTTGATGAAATGTCATGTTCAAATATTAATTTTAATAATTTAGAAAATGAAACAATTTATGTTACTCCAAGTTATCAAAACAATACTTTTTGTGGAAAAAATATTAGTATTATTAATGAACAAGTAGAATATCTTTGTAAAGAAGAAGAACAAAATAAATGTAAAGAATATTATTTAATAATTACTTCACAAGACTTTTATAGAAATAATATAAATATTTGTTTTTTAATAAATAATAAACAAATGAAATTTATTTATGAACATTCACAATATTATTTTGTTGATTGTTTTAATTTAACTAATAAAATTAAATATTATTCTTATTCTAGTGTTACTAATGGTGCTTTTAAAGTTCGTTATTCATCTTCTTTAAATAATATAGTTGAATTAATTAAAATTATTACATCTTATTGCTCATCATCAAATACTCAATTTATATTAAATCAATTTGGAGTTTCAAAACATCAATATTCAGATAATTTATGTTCTTCTGGAGATAGTATTATTGATGTATATTCAAATGGAGATATAATTGATAATGAAAGAGCAATTATTACACCATTAAATTTACAGTCTCATTATATTGGAACAAATTCAATGTATTATTCTTTACCAATAACAAAACCAATATTATCATCCTCAAATAAATACATTTTTGAATTAATTTCTGATTCAAATGCAAGACAATATGAATATAAAAATGACCATTTATATACTTTTAACTCTAATATTTCTACTTTTACTCCATCAAATTCATTAGTACAAATTGCTTATGGAAATGAATGTATTTCTCAATTTAATTGTACAAAAGATATTACTAAGAATCAATTTATTTTTACTACTTCTTGTGTTGATTCTAATGCATTTAGAACAATTGATGACCAAATTCAATTAGTTAAATATTCTAATAAAAATTGTTTTAAAGACTCATTTGAAATAGCATATTCACCTTCAATTAATGGTATTATTTTAATTGGTAATCAATATTATTTTATCGAAGTTATAAAGAAAGATAGTTCTGCAGAAACAGTTTATGGAATATATTCAAATTCTTATATTAAAACATTATCTAATATTTGTATTCAAATAGGTGAAACTTCTTCTTTTAAATACGTTTATGGGTTTTATGGTATTACAGAATCAAAACTTTATTATAAAACTTTATACTCTAATTCAGCTCATTGTAATGGTTCTTTTACTTATCAAATTATTGATAATTTCCAATTATATCCTCCCCAAATATTAACAAAAGGTAAAATTGGTTATTTTTTAAATTCTGATTTAAAATGTACATTAGAAGGAATTGAAAAAGGATATCTTACTAAATACTTCAACATTGAACAATGTGTTTTTCATAACACTAAATACCTTATTGTAAAAGATCAATTAGTTGAATATCAATATTCAAATTGTAATAAAAATGAAGGTAAAAAATTAATACAAACATATTCACTTAATAAATGTAATGAAATTAATGAATACATACAAGAATATGTTGGATTTATTATTACTTTTAATTGTTCTTCTAAATTTACAATCGGTTGTTTAACATGTGATTCAATTGAATGTTTGTCTTGTTCAAACAATTTATTCTTAAAAGATAATAAATGTCAAAATTGTTCAGATATGTATGGATTAGATTGTATTTCATGTGATATAAATACATGTCTTAAATGTAAAACAAATAAACTTCTTAATGGTAAATGTATCATTGATAATTCAAGTATTTCTCCTGACACTACAAAAGATAATATCAATGTTCCTAAAATTATTTGTATTTCTCTCGGTGTTATTGGTTGTTTCATTTTAATTATTTGTACTATTGTACTTATTATTAAAATTAGAAATAAAAAGAAAAACTTTTTTACTCCCTTTAATAAATTAAAATAAATCTTTTTTGAATTATTTATTATTTTAAGATGATTCTTTCATTTACTTTTTTTTTATAAACAAAACATTCAATTATATATTCTTTTTTCTCTTTGAATAATTTTAAATTGATATCTAATTGTTGTTAAAGAGTTATTATTCATTATATCTCTCTATTAAAAAGTTAATTTTAAAATTTGTAGTTATTATATAAAAAAGAGAGTTGTTAAAAAAAAAAAGAAATCAATTATGATTAACCTTCTTTTTAGGTTTTTCATCATGTTGAGAAGTGAGTGAATCAGTTTCTTCAACACGCTTTATTTCTATTGAAATAAAGTTTTTGCAAGCATGCTCGACTTAAATGGTTCCTCAATTAAGTTGCTGCCTGACTTTTATTTTGATTTTAATGAGTAATATAATATTTCTCATTCTTTATATTGTTGTTTTAAGGAGAGTATATCCATAACTTACTGTTATAGCTCATCTCCTTTTACCTTCGACACCCCTTAAAGAAACCCTATTCCTTGATAATATCCTTATGTTTAATTTTTGTGCAACAATATCAATTATATATGCGTCTTCTTTAATAAATGATAATTCTTAATACATAATACCTCCTTAGTAAATAATAATCCTTATAAATAATAATGAATAACAATACACCTTAATGAATAACAATACACCTTAATGAATAACAATACACCTCAATGAATAACAATACACGTTAATGAATAATAATCTTTTATAATAATCACTTCTAATAAATATTAATAATAATAAACAGTTAGTGTTGAATAGATATTATCTCACCAAAGGCACGTCATAACCAGACGATAACTGGGAGATTCGAAGCATGGGATTATTTTAGGGTTTCATGTGGTGTCTCTGACATGCCATCTTCGAATCTATAAAAAAGAGAGTTGTTATTAAAAAAAAAAGAAATAAATTTAGTAAAACTTAGTTGATATTGAATCAAACACAATGTCAAAATGAGTAGAAATATAATAAACATCCTTTTTTAAGGAAGATGGTATTTCACAATTCTCAAATTTTAAAGTTTCAGGCATTTCAACTGGATCAGTGATTGTTCCTTTTATAAACTCTAAGAATGAATTGAGACAGTCTTCACTTATTCTTAAACTTGAAATCTATGGGATAAATCATTTTCATATTCCCTATTATCTGAGAGAAAAGAAACAAAACAATACTAACAAACTATTACATTTCTTCTTTTACATGCATTTAATGCCTCTATCCAGTCATCATCAAATATCTCATCATTGGACTTAAAACATTGAATTATTTTATCAAAGTCATCATTGTCATCATCTTCTTCCATACTAAAATCATTTCGTTGATGTCGAACTCTTGGGGTACTAATTTTTATTTTTTGGGCATTAATAAGTGCTTGAGGTGGTGGTAATAAAGATTTAACGAAAAACTGGTTTATGTCAACAAAAACACATTGAAGCTTTTGAGTGATAAATGGATGAACAAATAACTCATCCCATGAAATTCGTTTTTTAACATCAATTTCAAGCATTTGTTGTATAATATAAATAAAGTCTTTATTAAATCCATCAGGAAATACTAAGTCATTACTAATATTAGAATCAATACAAATCCATAATGAGTCTTTATTTTGTATTGGAGGCCATCGTTGACTAACAAGATAATAAAGACATACTCCAAGAGAATACATATCTGCATTAATTGTATAATTCCCTTTTAAATTGACAAATGATACTTCTGGTGCCATATATTGTGGAGTACCAACACATGACTCAAATAATGATTGTT